TGCATTTGCGTTTCGAAGAAAATTTTTTCCGAGCCGTGAGAAATTTTTGCCGGTTGACTTTTCTTGGTTCATGCCCCCATTCCATGTTCGCTAAACCCCTCTCCCTCCCCATTTTTTTCAGTTGCCAGCACCGCAAAATTACCATACAACTACTATTTCTGACAAGTGCAAGATTTACCATTCCTAGGAAGCAGACTTACCTGAAGCTGTGTGTAAGTATGTACTTGTGATGAAGAATCTCCAACGACCAAAGGCCGTTGAGAATTTGGCGGATATCCCATACCACCATTATGTCGAGCCTGATTTGGAGGAAGTCCAGGCAAACGATGAGATGGGTAACTTTGAAAAGGATTGTGGTTGCCTGCACCAAAACGACAATTTCCCATAGATTGTTGCTGTTCCTGCAAAACAAATGTGATTTTCGAAGAAGACAATGACATAAGGAAGTGTTACCAGCACCTCTCGGTTATAGGACTGGCGCATAGTGGTTTGATCCGGTAACGTAGAACCCACTGAATGATTGGATCGATCGAAATCATCATCAGGAGGCAAAGGTGCATCAGCTATCCAACGGTTATCATGGCAAAAAATGTCCATTGCTCTTAGATCTCTCTGATTGTGCTCTGTCCAACTGCCGCTGGATCCTTGACAAGGAAAACTCTATAGTCACTTGCATACAACGCTGAAGCTGACGGAAACAAAAAAGAAGGAGTGAAGGATGGGCCAGATATCATATCAAGCTCGAAAACAAATTAATGTCCACAAAATCATACTAATTTCAAGAGAGCCCCTTTTTTAGCTCAAACAAGGGAATTGGGAGCCGTCAGAAAAAGGCAGTGGAAACGATTGCTGGAGGTAGGCGGTTATCGCCAGCGTGATTCGTGGTCGAAGGGCTGCAAAAGGCCGTTTGGCCACACCCCACTCAACATTTCCACTAAAGAAGGTGGCAGCGAACGCCGCCCACCCCCTAAAAGAACGCGGACGACATGGGAGAACAGTGATAAGGGCGAATGAGAAGAAGGAGATATCGTATCTCGCACATTTGTGAGCAGTGCGACCACGATGTAAGGGGCGAGGGGGGGGGAGGGTCCGGTTACATTTCCGGAAGAAAAAAAAAATTCCGTTTTTCACGAAAAAACCCAGTCCGGAAAGTCGACATTTATTCCATCGTCGCAGATTCTCAATCATTGCAAAGCAGGACCGCGACATTAAAAAATGAGCTCACCCATCGACTCGATCCTATACGGGAATACTGGGATGCGGACAGGTTCAAAGCCGCAGAGTGGTATCACTTTCGTCACATGAATGTGCGGGCGATGGCCGCATATTTTTACGTCTCGAACTTCCCGCAATGAACGACACGCAACACGCCGCACGATCAGCCATCCGTCTAGCCGTAACAAGACGCATCATGTTTCTGCGCAGTACACTCAAATGTACAGAGATTACGGCCAACGCGCCAACACTTTTGATGCAGGATGTTGATCTCACATCAAATGTATCAATCGTGCGGCGTGTTGCGTTGCAAATAGCGGGCGGAGACATAAAAGAACATCCAGCAAAACACTGAAGCTCTAAACTGTAAAGTAATACCGAGTGGCTAAAGCGATAGAGCGCGTTCACACTTCGAGATCTAATCGTTCGTATCGCGCGAATGGATCGCGAAGTGTGAACGGGTGCTCATCCCCTCCAACAGCTACACATCTGCCCATGGAGCCATGTCGAGCAGAAGCCTCATAGGTAAGGCGTACGCAGTAGCGTGCTCCTCGAATACAACCCGTCCTTACCTGCATTCGATGAGAAAAGTATCTGATCGAGGCGGCTTTCGTCCATCTGACCATCATGCACTATTTGATCTATCAATCCACCCATACCCAGGAAAGCATCGGAATCCGTTGGATGTTTGACGTGTTGCATACTGGCACCTGCAATCTTCAAGATCATAAGTTACTAACATTTATTTTCATAGAGCTTCAAATCGAATTTTCGCGCACAATCCCTTTTGAACGAAGTGGAGGGGGGCATGCTATGTCACTACTATGACTGTACCAAACCGTTCACCTTTCCATGTAACAATGAATTTCGCGGACATTTTCCAGGGGATGGTGACATTGAGGGTATGCAATAGGCCACTATCAACTTCTTGCGCTCTAGTTGAACGTCAGAAGACGAGTACTGACGACATTTAGGAATAAATGTGTTGCTATGAGGCAAAATGACCATAGCCTTTCTCGCCGCCGATGCTCGACGTCAGGGAGAGGGGGAGGTGGCCGAGATTAGCGCAGCGCCAGCCTGTTCTCCACCAATTGTTGAAGAAGCAAGCGACAACAAGTGGTGGAAACTAGGCTAAGTGCAAGCGTTACAATCCCAGCCCCTGACAGCAACCCCAGCGGTCTGCAGTGGACAAGACTGTATGTAGTATCACGAGTTCAAATAAGCAGAGTCTTCAATTTTGCTTTTTCTTCCAGCTATTCAAAACATGACAATAACATGTTGACAATTGTTCAAAAACCTCAATATTCAGAAGTTATAGTCGGCAAAATCCAAAGCTACCCACGAATCAACGGCCCCCGTCATACAATTCCAGGGGTATGGAGTAACAGCATCCATCTGATAGGTGCAAGCGCTTGAAACTTTCTTATAAATAACAGAACTGAATAAAAAGCAATCCTCGTAGGCAGGTGAATCAATACGCATACGATGGAAAAACAACAGCCGACTGGCCTTGCTGACGTTAAAAAGAACATTGTTTCCAAACCCAAAAAGAGATGCCTGGCAAAACATAGGAAAACCAACAGAATGGGAATGGGAACACTCAGTCATACTCTCAGAAGTCCCGCAAATACGCAGTGCACCTTTCCAGTTAGAGGCAGCTGGCACGATGATTTGGTGCTCGGCCGAAAATGCTAGTATAGCGCTTAGTGGGGGGGGGGCGGAAAAGGGGGGGGGGGCGAAAGAACCGAATGAAACGGCTCTCGAGGAAGGCTCCCGTCTCACTTGTCGTAAAACATTTTTCGACGAGTTTCCGTAGGCATCTTTGAAAATAACCGCCAAGAACGTACGACTGGCATATATGTACTCATATAATCCACAGCATCACGACCAGCTTGGCGCTGTTTATCGACGGGGGGGGGAGCATTTTGTATTATAATTGCTTCCCTGGTTCCGGTTTACAAATCTCACTCTGGTAAAACTTGTGAACGCTTGTGAAGCTGGAGCAAGATCGTCTAGCCACCATCCTAAAACGTGTCAACTCGGTTGGCAAATCTATGAAAAGCAGAATGCCCCCCTCCCCATCAATAAACAGCGCCGGCCGCTTCATACCAATCCCTTCGCTTCATAATTTGCTCAGCAAATGAATCAATACGAGCGTCAGGAACGGTCGTCCATTTGTGGGCGGGCGGGCGTGGCGGGCGTTTGGGTCGGAATGTTGTGGCTTGATAGGGCCCTTATAAGGGCACCTTCCTTGGAAAAGGCATTATGCAGCGCCTGCTCAGGGTCGCGGAATTCCGTCCTGCCAGGCGTATTAGTCCTCTTGGAGGATTTATCGTGCCAACTGCCTTCAACCATTCCATGCTCCTCCCCCCCTCCCCTCCCAGTATTCCTCACGTAAGCCCTCGGAATTCTTCACGATTGGTCGCATGGGCAAGAAGGAATCTTTCCGACTGTTGATTTTCAATGGTTGCTTCTTGCGCCTCTGTTCGAGGGTGCTAAGGAGGGAGAGAGGATAGATTCTCCACGTTTTCCGTTTTCGTTCGTTCGAGAGTGTGGACCCTGGTGTGAACCCTGGCTCCTTTGCTTTTGCATGTCGATTTATTTGTACTGGTCGCGTATCAATGGTCGTTACAGGTAGCTGTTCAGCGTGTGAAAGACTTATCGATCACCCACTTATGGTTAGTATTCAACACTTGGAACTACTGAAAGCCATTAAGTGCCAAGACATATGATCTCCCTTAATAAAAAAAGCCTCCAGGGACAACTGCCATTAGTAGGCATCATACCAGCGTTTCTATTTCGCTAATAACTTTTCTAATCAGTTTCCTACAGCAGCCGCGAATGCAAGCCTGCATCTCAAAGTTCCTACTAGGATCCGGTTACATCACCGTCCAGAACTTCCCATTAGGGCGACCCCACTCGGTCGCAGAGAGGGGGATCGTATTTGGGCTCGATAGAAATGTTCCCGAGTAGTGAGAAATGTCCTTCTGGTTGATGACTTTTAGTTTCCCTTTTTATGTTCGCTTATAACC